CTGAAGGCAGAAAACACCAGAAGGATGTCTACTTGTGTTTTATTGGCTATGTAAAGGTTTTTGACAACGTGGAACATAATAAATTATGGCTGACATTGAGAAGGGTGGGAATTCCAGGATGCTTAATTGTACTCATGCAAAACCTAAACCTAGACCAAGAAGTTGTTGTATGAATAGAGCAAGAGAACATTGAAAGCTATGCGCCATGGACGTATCCTTTCTCCTCATTTATTTCATCTGTATACAGAACAAATCATTCAAGGAATAGGACTATATAAAATAGAATGTGGCATTGGCACCAGAGGAAGACTTACCAACAACCTGCATTGGGTAGATGACACAAACTTGCTTGTGGCTTGAAATGCTTGGGGCAGAGGCCTAATGACGAGAGCCTTCAAGATGGTTACATCTCAACACCAAGAACATAAAAAATCCTTACCACCAGGCCAACTGGCAACATCATGACAGGTAGAGAAGAGATAAAAATTGTTGGGGGTTTCCTCTTGCTTGGATTCACAATCAACATCCTAGGCACCAGCCGCGAGAAAATAAAAGATGCATTGTTTTGGGAAAGTCTGATGTCAAGGATGTCTCCAAAGTGAAGAGCAGTGGTATCAGTTTGAAGATTACGGTGTCTTCAAATAGATCCAAGCCATAATTTTTTCCAATTACTTGCTACACAGCTATAAGTTGTACAATGAATAAGGATAACAGAGTAAGAAACAGTGCCTTTGAGCTGTGGTTTTGGAGAAGAATGTGGAATAGCCCATGGACTGCCAAAAGGACAATCAAACAAGTCTTGGAAAAGGTGCAGCCAGAGAGGCAAGGATATGAAACTCCACCTCACCTACTTTGGGCATGTTTTATGAGGGGCTAGTCCTTGCAAAAGGACACAATGCTTGGAAAGGTAGAGGGTCAGCAAATGAGGGGAAGACCCTCAACGAGATGGGTTGACACAGTGACAGTAGCAATGAGCTTGAGTATGTCAGAGATTGTCAGGATGGCATAGTTAGGGCACAGTTCAGATTCATTGTTCACATGGTCACTATGATTTGTAGTCAATGTGACAGCATTGGCTTAATGGTAAGAAGCTGTGCTGCAATCCCAAAGGCACATGGTTCAAACACCCCAGCTGCTCTGTGGAAAGAGGATGAGTAATCTCTTCTCATGTAATTTATTGCCTTTGAAAACCTGTTAGAGGATCAGCAATGAGTTAGTTCTGACTTGATGGCAAACCACCACCACCACCATCATCATCACCATAAATACCTACATAATGAACACCCATGTTTATTGTGGCTTTATTCACAATAGCAAAGAGCTGGAAACAACCGAAGTGCCCATCAACAAACAAATGGTTAGAGAAGCTTTGGTGTATTCACAAGATGGAATACTATGCAGCATTGAAAAACAAGGAACTCATGAAATATTATGCAAAATGGATGACCTTGGAGGACATTATGCTGTGTGAAATAGCTCAGTCACAAAAGGACAAATATTGCACAGGGCCACTGTTGTAAAATGGGACTGACATTGGGGTTAAGGGAAGACAGAAAAGGAGGGGAGCAATGATGCATTGAAACAGATGAGGGAGAGAACTGTTTTAAAGGGATGTATGACTGGGCATTATTGTCATGACAGGAGTCTAGAATGAAGGCGGCACAGTGGAGTGGACTTGGGGGGAGTGATTGCATAACAATGAAAGAGTTTTTCTGTTACTTTTCAAGGAGAAGAGGGAATTGGGGAGGAGGGGGTGGGCAGGGAGAAAAGTGCAACAATGAATGACTAGAAACCCTAAGCCTCTGTAAATTTTCATTAAAATTAATAAAAACATCCCACATAGATACCATCATTACCACCACAAACACATATACCTGTATAGATACTTGTGCATACATTTTTGCTATTGTTTCAAAATTATATAGCCATAGACATTATAAGTAGATCCTTTTCTTGTATATTTTTAGTAACATAATTTACTTTTGAAAGCTATGTATACTTCATCCTTGTTTTTTGTTGCATTTACCATCTTCTTTCTCATCACTGAAAAATAACAAGTGTCTACAATCTACAGAGTAAATCTCCCTCCATCTTTGGTCAAAACTAATGAACATAAATGTCTATGTATTTGCTTGGTCAAGCCATTTGTTCAAATGCATCCTAAATGTATTAATCAAGGCTCATTTAGTCAGAAATGGCAGAAAACCTAATTTGAAGTGGCTTGAACAAGAAAAAAAAAAGATATGATTCCTAGAAAACTCTAAAAATGTAAAGGTGGTGTTCAGGTATGGCTTGGTCCAAGGGCTTCTATAGTGTTACTAGGAATATGACTTTAGCCATGTTTTGATTCTTCTCTCCTTTGTGCTGATTTCTTTCCATGTGGTGGCTTCTAGCAGATACAAGAATATCTTGTTCCAAGTTCAAGTCCAGAGTAAACGAAAATATCTTCTCTCCTAATTATTTTCACCCAAATCCTGGTTGATTCTTCCTGGCTTGCATGTCCAAATTAGAATTAATCGCTGCAGGTAGATGAAATGATAATCTGACCGACTGGTCCTGGACCTTGGGATTCAGTTAGCATCAACTGGCCCAAATGAATTAAGAGTGCAGACACAATTACTCAAGTACAGTCATGAACAATGAATGGCTGTATGCCACAATCACAGAGATTCTACCCATCAGCCTTCTTAATCAAAGCTCACTTGAGGGATCCCTGAGTGGTGGTTAACACTGAAGCATTTTAGGTAACACTCGCTCGGATTAAAGAGTCAATGGTAAGCATATTTCTGTGGCATCTTTCAGGAGGAACAATTAATTTAAGCCAAAATGGTCAAGAAAGGAATCATGAATAATTTTACTTGAATAAAAAAAGAAATAAGAGAAAACGTGGCTGGATTTTAACAGATGGGAATTCAGAAAGGACATTTCAAGTCAAGGGGCTGATTTGAGCAAAGACACAGGAGCAGGAAATGATAGAGTTTTGCTGAAAAGTAGGAAAGATGCTGGGAATATTTGGACTCTGGTACAAAAGAACTCGAACGTCCAAACTCTGTGAAGATCGTAAGAGCGACTGGAGGAAATAACCCTGCAGACACAGACACAGGATACAGGGTTCTTTAATATTGATGAAGGATCTAACATCACTGTCTAAGGATACTCCCTTAGAGCAGAAACCCTTACAGACATTAACCTGAATGCAATGTCCAGAATGCGGTGGGGTTGGGGGTTATGCAGCAGGGTTAGGTTCTTGGAGCCTTGATCATCCCGAGATAGTTAATCTTCTATCCTTCTTTACCATTCTAGGCAAAATCCATTCTGCAAGGGTTTCTGGAGGATTCTGGCTATACCATCCAGGATCTGAAGAGCTTTCACTTTGTAGGACTTGGTACAATCCTGTGTGCTCTGAATACCACTGAGATCCCACTTATCAGGATCTCAGAATTCAGGTAACCAAGCCACTGGTGTGTGAAGTATGATAGATTGATCTATCCACTCCTTGCTGTTTTGCCACCTCTCTGGGCTGAATTAGAGAGGGGATTGGCTGGATCTTTTCTCCATGCTGAGCCCTCAAGAGTTCTCGAGAATCACAGTGTATCATCCTTTCCTATTATCCAGAGTTGTGGTGGCCAGGATCGGAACCTTGCTCTGCAGCACCCACATTTTGGCCGAGTTTAAGAAGAAGGCAGAAGCCGTGTTTGGAAATCCCGCCAAGTGGAACAGCTCCATCCTGCAGGAGCTTGGCACCATTGCAGGTAGGGGGCACTGTGAGCATGCGTCCTTTCCCTTTCCAGCCTTAAATCTGCGGCAGGAAGCAAAAGAAGCTTTGGCCAAATGTATTGAGTAGCGATAAGGTTATAGTAGAGTCTAGATTTCATGACTGACTTTGCTGAACCGGGGCCGGGGGGTGGGGTTGTCCAGAAGTCCCCCTTGGTAATTCTCATGGACATTAAACTTAGAAAGACATTGGCTTAGAGTGTGATTTAACTGGCCCCTGAAAAGGTTTATACACAATCTGGAACTATGTAAAGTGTTGCTTCTTTGGGTTGTATGTTTCATTGTAGGAGGCCAATCGGGGTTAATATGACCCCTTTTTCGGCCTTGACAAGGACTTTGCTTCTCCAAAACCTTTGTGATTTCCACTGTCTTTTGTAAGGAAGTTGCAGGCCTGGGACTCACAGGTCTGTACATTATGCAGCACAATTAGTAAAACAAGAGGAGTCCTGATGACTTGAACTAAACCCTCACGACTCCCTTTTTCTTCCCAGCTGGATTAACTAAGGACGAACTCCGAACGCTCGACAAAGACTTGATGCCGTATTTCCAGCCATCAGCAATAAAATGCCTCCCTGATGAGATATTCAAAGTAGGTGCTCAGTTCTTCAAGGAGAAATGGGAGCCTGACCCCATTTAAAATCATACAGGGAAGCAGACAGCAGGCCTCTGATGCTAAGAACTTGCAAACAGGGCATCACTTCTGCTGATAGGCTCGGAAGAGGTCTGAATACCAATGACGAGCAGGTCACGAGATAATTTTAGGTGGTCTATGGGTGATTCCCCCCCCCCTTCTTAAGACATTTGCAAATTGTCTTTCTTTTTATGTTTTTTTTTTTCTTTGTCACAAATGGTACTTCTTTTCCCCTTATGGCTATGTAACAGGTTCAGAATCCTTATTAGGTGTATTTCGGGATTCAGAATTTTACACCCTTTAGAAAGGTGTGTGTATGCCTATATCTTAGCACCCCAGCAGTGTTTGGAGAAGCACCTTATAAGCAAACGAATTAATATTTCTGCAGAGAAATCTGTGACAAGCTCTACTAATTGGAATAAATAGAGACTATAAATAGCCTCGAATCAATTCAGGTCAGGTTTTGATGGCAAAGAAAATTTGCCTTCAACTTTGGAAAAACTTCCAGTGTGAAGCCCTTTTGGAATTCAGAATTGCCAATGGTGAATCACAGGCCTGTGCAGCATTTATTTTTAAAATAATGAGACCTCCCCCCCCACACCCTCCCCCCAACACCTTCCCCCCCCAAGTTGGGGTAAAGGAGAATATTAGTAAAATCACATGAGGACATGTGATACACAGCCAAGATGACATTTAAGAAGGTAGACTTGGATGAGATACAGGTTGGGAAGTAGGGTATCACTTCCGGGCCCACTAGTCCAAGTGCGAGGACTATTAGAATGTTTGGTGGGAAGATGTGTTCCAGTGAAAGGGGAGTAACCCTGGTAAACCTGCTTACTGGGTAACTTGGGAACACATTCTGTCTGTGGCGACTTCCCTGAGGTTCATTTCAAGACAGAAGACCTTGTGCCATTTCAGCACCTGGGACGAGTCTCAGAATCACTACTGTCTAATAGATTCTGACTCGTAGAAACCCTGAAGGATAGAACAGAACTTCCCATAGGGTCTCCGAGGCTGTGGACATCTTTATTGACTAGCTGGTGAGATTGAACCACTGACGTTTTAGCTAGCAACTACACACCTTAATCACTATGTCCCCAGGGGTCTTTGTTCCCAGTACAGAACAGGAGAAAGAAATAATATTCCTCAAGGCCATTGAAAGGAGATTTTGTGGCACAACAGCTGCTAACCAAGAGGTCAGCAGTTCAAACCCATCCAGCTACTCCACGTGAGAGACTGTCTCTCCACTCACCTTGCCTCGGAGTTGGGACTGACTTCCAAACTGACCTGCCAGCAAGTTGTTATTGGGAGGCTGTAAGTCTCACAGGAAGAGATTGCCCACCTTTCTTTAAAGAAGACACTGGTGGGTTTGAATCGTCTTTAGATCACCAGCTCAATTCCCTATGGACTCCATTATCCAGAGCTCCCTACAGGAGAGAAGATCCAGTGATACATTTCTAGAAAAAGCAAAGCCTAGGAAACAAACAGGCCTTTGGGGCAGTAGTGAAGTCTGGTGGCTTAGTGGTGAGGAGTTGCACTGCCAACCTGAAGGCACATAGTTCAAATCTACCAGCTGCTCTATGGGAGAAAGATAGGCAATCTCCTCCCTTGCACCCACTGGACTGTTAGCTATGAGTAAATTTTGACTCCACAGCAATATATGGAGAAATAGTAGGTGGAATTAGGAACTGTTCCAGATGCTAGAGGCCTCATGCCATGCTCAGGAATTTGGTCTTTATCCTGGAGACTAGGGTAGGGAAGGGTTCCAAGCAGGATAATAACCTGTTCCAGGAAAGCATCTACCTGAACAAGAGAAAGAAGCTGAATCAGAGGAGATGAAAGAAGCTGAATCAGAGGAGATGAAAGAAACTGGAAATATAACATCTTTCCTAGAACCTTTGGGTCTGTAGGAAATACACCCAATAGCTTTAGAGCCCTCTCCACTAAAGCAAAATCCTGCCACCACACTTCATTCCAATCCTACCCACCAAAACCTTTGGTTTCTCAAAGATATGGAGTATGTGCCAGTGTCTCCATCTTCCCTGTTCATGGCAGACATCACCAATGGATCCCTGCACTTTGCATCTGCTTGAGCCCTTACAGTTCCTAGGAGTATGATGCCATGCAGTCACACCAGACAATCAGAATTGGCATAGACCATTGTGCCTCCTACATCTAGGCCGTATGTCCATAAAGGTTGTGTGACTTTTCCAAGATCACACAACTAGTTTGAGGCTGAGCTCAGATTCAGATCTTGGCTTTATGTTTATGGCTTCCCACCCCATTATAATTTTCTTGCGAGGAGACTCAGGTATTGGAGGGAGAACCCTGCATTGCATTAAACAGCTTTAAATCACAGTGTGAAAGTGATTACTTCCCTACCACTCCCCTTTAATCTAATGACCTCAAGGAGGAAATCTTAGATTAGAACTAAACTGTTCTTACTGTGCTATGTACAGTTGGAATCAACTCCAGTGGGTTTTCAGAGGCAGAGAAATCATACGGGAGGAGATTGTCCCTCTTTATCCTGTGGAGCAGCTGTTGGATTTGAACCACGTGCCTTTGGGTTGGCAGCACAACTTCTTACTACTAAGCCACCAGGGCTCTTTAAAATGCCCTTGTTCTTGTTGTTATGTGCTGTCAAGCCACTTGCAACTCATAACAATCTTAGGTACAACAGCCCTAAACCCTGCTCTCTCCCTTGCCAATCTTATTGTCTCCAACACGCCCATCCCCATTACCCCAGTGACAGAATCAATCTCATCAAAGGTCTTCCTTTCCTGCGCAGTTCCTCCACCCTTCCAAGGATGATGTCCCTCTCCAAGGACTAGTGTCTCCTTGCAACGTGTCCAAAGTATGTCAGATGAAGCTTCAGAATCCTTGCCTCCAAGAAGCAGTCTGGCTTCCACCTCTCCAGGACAAACTTGTTTGTTCTCCTAGCAGTCCATGTATTTTCAATACTCTTCTCCAGCACCAAGGCTCAAAGGCATCAATTCTCTTTCTATCATTCCTAGTCATTATCTAGCTCTCTGATGCATAGCAAGTGATTGCAAAGGCCATGGCCTGTATCAGGTGCACCTTAGTCTACAGACTGACATCGTTGCTCCTCAGTACCTGGGAGAGGTCTCTGACAGCAGCCTTTCCCAATGCAATTCGTCTTTTAACTTCGTGACTTTTGGTACCACCCTTTATAATAGCTGTTATATTCTAACCACTCCTTTTTTTATTATGCTGAGCTCAAGTTCAGACTGCTGACTAACAATCTCACTAGACTTTAATATATTTCCCGCCCCATTTCTTCGGTTGCATTTTTAAAATATTTCTGTATTGCCCGTCCTACAAATCTTTTCATTTTAAAGAAAGTTTATTTTAGTGGTAAAAGGAAAGGACTGATTGTAAGGAGATAGATGAATACAAATAATTGAGGGGTGGTGTGCCAAACCTGGGTGGGCCCTAGGAAGATAGCGAGGTCTGAGAACCTGGGGACTGGCCCTCTCTCCCCTGCAGGAGCTGTCCACAGAGCAGATCTTCTCTTTGGGCCCTGAGAACGCGGCCGCGGTGACGGATGCCCAGCGCAGGCAGCTCAGCCTGCCGCAGCTGCACAGCCTCCAGCGTGCACTAGATGGCGCCAAGGTCCACGCCTGGCTGGATGCTCCTGTGAGCCCCAGCCCCACTGGGACCCCTTTGTCCCAAACTCCCCCAGGTGAGCCTTGCTGACCCCTAACATGTCCCCACTTGACCTCTACCCTGTCCCCACCCTTTCCCTGTCCCTAAGTCTATCTTGCCACTCTTAGGGCAGGAAGATTCAGGGCAGGATTCTTCACTCAGGGGAAAACCCCAATCACTATCAAATTAATATAAATGATTGTCAAACCTAGCTGTCCCCTTTTTTCTTCCCATATGTTTTGTTAGATTTTCATTAATATACATTGTGTTGTATACAATCTTTTGTTTACATTGTGCTTCATTCTTGTTCATTGTATTTTATAGCATTGATTACTATTGATCTCTCCCTATTATCACTCTATCTTTTCAAGTCTGCATTGAATCTTTCCTATTCCTCCATCTTCCTTATACATGCCTACATCTGCCCACTAACCTTTGCTATCCTAGGGGAAGGGGGAAGTCATGAGAAGAGCTGCCCTTTAAAGTCACCTGGGGGAACCTTTAAAAACTGTAGCTCCCCTGGGCTCCACTCAAGGCCAGTTGAGTTAGAATTTCTGAGCATTAAATACATTTCATCCCAATTCTTGTGTCCTGTTCCGAGACAATCTATGCACATAAAAGCAAACCAAATATGAGAGCATTATTGTAAAAAAAATATAGAAGGATAACTAGTAAAACATGTATGGGCACTTAAGGGGGATAGGGGTGGGAGTGGAGGGGTGAGGATGGGTAGGGGTGAAACCACAGAGTTGCACAGTTTGGTTGATGAGGGGATGAAGGAAATGGGAAGGATTCATCTTGAAAAGACAGAGTAATGATGGATAAGGTCCAATGGAGATGAACTTTATAAAACATAATGCATGGGAATGATTGTATGAAACACAAAGTGAATGAATAATAGTGTGAAACACAATGTACACAAACTATGTAAGCAAACCGATATAAAATAAAAACAAACAAACCCCCCCCATATTACTCTGCTGATGTACATCAAATAAGTAAACTTCGAAAAACATAATAACTTTATTTTCTTTGCACATAGTTTGATGCATTTTAAAAATAAATGTCCTTGAACACGGTAACAAAAAAAGCAAATTGAATACGGATGGTTCTCATGCTCTCACAGAAGCCCTATGCCCACCGGGCTCTGCACCTTGTGGTTCTCACCTGGCAGCATACCTGGAGACAGCTGCGTATCTGCGCACAGGCGCTGTCCTGTGGCTGGGCTTCTGGCTCCACCACAGCTGTTTTTGAGCAGACCTCTGTAGGCGGATCTCTTTGCTGTTACAAACAATGCAGCAGCGAATGACCATGAATAATTTATATCTCTTCGAGCATGTCTGTAGGATAAAGTCTTTAAAGTGAGACTCCTGGCTCAGAGGGGGTGTGTTTATGTATGATTTTGATGGATGGTATCAAAGCCTTTCCATGGAAGTGGTTTCCAGTTTCCCCTCACTCGGGGAGGTCAGAAAGTGACATTGTTGCTGGCTTTTATGTGCCTTTGAGTTGGAGCCGACCCCCGCTGTAACTCACACAATAGGAGACTGCCCATATTTTTCCCACAGAGCAGGTGGCGGATGAGAACCTCAGGCCTTTGGGTTGGCAGTGCAACTCCTTACCTCTAGGGCATCAGAGCTCTCTGAAGAGTAATGAGGGTTCTTTTAAATGGTGTTCTCTGTGGGGTCCCAGCCAGGCAAGATCCCAGTTGCCCCATCCTTCCATGGACCCCATAAGCCTCCAAGGAGCTGAATCTGGGCCAACCCTTCCTGTAGGTCAGACAGTCATCTCTTAGTTCTGAAACTTGCTTAATTATCAGAATCACTTGGGGATGGTGTTTAAAATCCAGCTTCCTCGCCTTATCCCAGACTCATTGAATCAGGATCCCCGGGGGAGGGATTTGAAGTCTGCATTTTAGACATGCTCCCCCCAGGTGACTTCTGATGATGGCATATCGGGACCATTCACTGATTTAATTCTTATTTAATTCTCACACAGCAGTTGACTTGGGCTCTTGTTCCCATTTGAGGGATGAGGAGCCCAGGGTTTGTTTGCACTGAATGAATGGTCTCAGAGAGGCTCAAGGAGTGGGAGGTTTGGTGGGTTTCTCTGTCTGCAGCTGAGACCTCATAGGCATTCTTGCTTTGTTCTAGGAGCTCCTGTCTGCTGGGGTCTTTGGCTTGGCTGCCCTCTGCTAGTTCTAATGCCCAAGCCTCTGTGGTGAGCAGTGTGGGTATGACGCCCTTGACAGCTGGTCAAGACTCTTCAGACAGTGGAAGACCCTTGCTTGGACCCCGAATCTCAACTTGAACAAGCTCTGATAGTTATAACCTCCAAGGCCTTCATAGTAAAAGGCACTCCAAGGGAAAAAAAAATTATCAAAAATGATCTTGCAAATTCTGAAGCTGGCCAAGTGGGGAGCCACTCCTTGCCCCCTGGTAGCCTTTTCCCTCTCCTGCTGGAGACAGAAACTGTGGGAGGGGGTCAGGGAAGTAGGGTGCCAATTTTCTGCTAATAGAGTTGTGGACCTTATGCATCAGCTACTACCCACCCCTGCTTCCCAGAGGGGGTGCAGCCTTTCAGCCAGGGCCAAATGTGAGGCCTACTCTGGTTTGATTGCACTTCTTGGAGCGACGGGGCTGCATCGGATTTCTCCTTCTTAGATATTTAGCAGAGCTGAAATAAATGGATCCCTCAACAGCCGCCGAGAGCCCTGCCTGATAGCTGGGACTAATTGATGTTTTGGTGGGCATTGCATTGCTGGGAAATTAAAACATTTAACATGGCTCAATGTTAAATCAATTTTAAAATGCATTTTCCCTGATGCCTTCAATTTCCTGTGAAGTTATCAGTTAAGCTTTCAAAATGTTCCCTTTTTGATGGAGATGGTGGCTCTTGCTCTTATTTTAAGTTGCTCTGGGCTCGGGAGAGTGGCCCTGGTGGCCTGGTGGGTAAGAGTTGTGCTGCTAACAGAATGGCATGTGGTTCGAATCCACCAGCTGCTCTTTGGGAGAAAGATGAACAATCTCCTTCCATGAAATTAATTTACAGTCTCTGAAAACCCACTGGAGGGTCAGCTATCAGTTGGTTCCAACCGGATAGCACATAACAACAACAATGGGGCCTTGGGAGGTCTGAAATAATAATAATAAAAGTTAGATGCACATAGGTCACTCACCCATTTCATTATCTGATGATGGCATCAACTTTATCCCATTGCTCAACCTTTTGGAGGTTGGGGCGATGTTACTTCTGGAAATTTCTAGGATGCCTTTGGTCTCAGGCTTGTGGGGGAGTGGTCAGAGTTCAAGAAAAGGGACAGCAGTGACGTGACAGATCACCTTCCAGGAGGCGACAGAT